AAATTGCTCTCGATTGCACGAATTTCTCTCAACTAAAAAGAGAAGGTCACTAAACCCATTTTCACATGAATTTCCCGTCTTTCCCGATGCAAAACTCAAGTAATTCTCTTTATTTGCTTTTAAATCTGTCTTTTTTGTTTTTGGAAAAGGCACTATAGTAAAAAGCATAGCTTTCTCTATCGAAAAGTACTTTCAGAATTTTTTGGTGACTCTGCTTGAAAAATGCCAATTTTGAGTAATTTTCTTCAGTTGCTTCTAACTTTCAAACGTTTTTTATGCCAATTCATGGCAAAAGTACTGCTGTAAAAGGAAGGATTTTCTTTCTTAGATAAATATAAATGCAAAGAGATCCACCGAGTCGAAAGGAAGTTATGACTTTTTTGAAAACTGGCGAACGTACTTTTGGTTCCACCTAATTTGATCTGAAAATTTTTGAAAATATTTCAATATTCACCAAGAGCTTGTAGATCATTTTGAAATTGGTGACCCATCCCCCCCCCCTTTGTTTTGATATATTTCTACCTAATCACTTCAGCTTTATTTATATCCTGTGCATAGTTTCTACAAAGTAATAGTTTTAAATTACTTGCATTATTATTTTAATCAAAGCACATAAAGCAAAGAAGTTCGACATACCTGAACAAGGGCATTGTGCTTAGACGAAATCCCTGCGGAGTTCTTTTCCAGCACCCAACAGCTTGGTGATGGTTGTTCACATACCTGCACCGATGCCTGAAAGAATACTAAAAACATGGATGAGTATAGGTTTACTTAAGCCAACATCGAAGAAAGAAAAAAAAGAGAAAAATTAGAGGAGGAACAGAAGCGAAACAGTATGGAAGAAAAGAGTGCGCTATGCGTTGTTGACGTTGCGTTCGCTATTTCGCAATCGCGAATGCATGCGCTCTCAAAGTCCTGCGGAAATGCTGGCAGGTCAAAGTGCTGCGGAAACCTTACGAGGCTCACTGCACTTTCGCAGCGCTTTATGGAAAGTGCTGCAGAAGTTCCGGTTTACGATTGCTGTGACGTCAATTTCCTGCGGAAACCTCGCATTTTGTAGCGTGCACTTTCTCAATGGTTAAGAAAGTGCTGCGGAAACGTTACAAGTTCTGCTTGTCCTGCGGAAGTTCCGGTGAATTGTCTGAGAGTGTTAGAAATCCCCCCCCCCTCCCTACTGGAGGAAAGCGCTACATAAAAGTTTGAAAATTTCTTTAGTTTGTTGTTTGTTGTTTGGAAATGTTTGGAAATAAAAATGAGTCCGTATAGCATTCCCAAAGGAAGGTGGAGAACTTCGAAATACTCATTGCTTAAGCTATCTCGAAAGATTCTTTTGTGGTCTTGAATTACAGCTGTATATTCTTGCTCAGACCGTACTCACCATTGTACCATGGGCGCTGATTGGTCCGCTCGAATGCATTACGGTCTGGGACGGAGTTTTTTGATGAATTTTTCAGCTACTATAAATAATAGGAGCTTCCGCTTGGGCAGCGGCTTACCTTAGGCCGCTAAATTAGCATCTATGTAAGGTTCAGGTACCCAGATTTCTCTGGAATTATCATCAGGGTAAAGCGGGGGTGCGGCACGCGACCGCCGGATACGACCCCCCCTTGGGCCGGACCTCGGCACGACCCCCCACCCCCATTCCCTACCCCCCCCCCCGCTCTTGATCTTTCGATGCAATGAGGGTGTTCTGCAAGAAACTGACGAGTGATGGTACCACAATTTTGCTAGATAACACGGATTCTCAGTGACACAGTTCTTGTGTGATTGTGGGATTGTGGAAATATTTGAAGAATATTTGAGAATTGAATATAATTGAATATTTATAGAATTGTAGCCTCGTAACGGCATGACTCATTTAACAGATCGATACAAGCGTTATCGGGAACACTAATCCACAAATCGGATAAATATGTACTCGTGTGAAAAACAGAAAAAGTGAAATGTGCTGATACAAGAATAAAAGTACGAATATTGCAAAAAGTTCAAATCGTACATTCTCGTTGATCAGCTGTCGTTCATGCTCAAATGAAGAACTCAACGAGGACAGTTCGTTTGTCAGATCCATATTCGATAACTCGAGCTGTAAATAAAAAGAAGTTATGAAATTTGATATTTAGTTATTCTATCTAATGAGTTAGTCATGTCGGCGACGATGTTGGTTCCATGCTCAATTTTGCCTTTCACTATTAGCATGATATATTGCAAATTGGGACCACGTTTATCACAACGCGCAAATGAATTGTTTTAGCAAGAAACTTTTGTTGAATTAAAAGAACGGCCATAGGTTGCCGGTGTTGTCGGTGTTTGCCGGTGTTGTCGGGGTCGTTGGGGTCAGAGACAATTTAGAGAGCGCGCGAAACGTGGAGGCTATCATGAGGTTCTGCAACGACCGGCAACCTCGGCAACATCGACAACCTAAGCAGCACCGTCAACACCGACAACACCGGCAACCTATGGCCGTTCCCTAAGGCAACAAACTATGCGAAAATGAAAGAATAACACTCGTACAGGCAAACAGAAACCATATTCGATAGTTGATATAGACGCTATGACGTAAGCAATATCATGCTACTCACACTTCTGATACTGTTCGATTGTACATCGTTTTTCTCTTCGAACTTGGACATTTCCACCTCGTACCGTTTCTTTCTTTAGGACTATCCATGGAAACTCACAGTTCCAAAAGCCCTCTTCCTTACGCTGGACCTGGGAATCGCCCGGTGGAGAGTACCATAACGAGATTGACCACATCATCGTCAACAGAAGGTACTGCCTGACGGACGTCGCTGTTGTTCCGAAGTTCTACACGGGATCAGAACATCGTCTCCTGCGCGCCAAATTCTACTTTCCGCGGAATGGAGAGAGAGCCGTCAAGTTCAGGAAACATCGTCCCATGAATATCACCAACTGGGATCTGTTTTCTTCGATATCCGGCTCATGGCGAGATACCGTGATGGACAACATCGACGAAGAATACGAACGGTTCGTACAACATCTCCACGGTTGTGCCAAGGAAGCTCAGAGTCTAAGAAGTACGAGAAGGCGTCTCATCACGGGGACTTTGGAGCTGATACGCCAACGTGGACGCGCACGAGCCACAGGCAACTACCGACTGACGTCCGAGCTTGCGAAGCGATGCAGAGAAGCGATAAAAGAAGACCTTAAGGAGAGAAGAGTAGCAGTGATGGTTGACGCCGCGGAGGCTGGAAGAAGTATACGCAACGCCCGCCGAAGCTTCGTCAACTTCAAGACAAAGATGACCGCACTTCGTCGTCCTGACGGAACCATAACTGCTTCCCGAAGATCAATGGAGAAGGTCATCCACGACTTCTACTCGGATCTTTTTGCGAGCCACGTCCACCTTCCACCATGCCATCTCAAGGAGGACGAGTATGTCGCACCGTCTGTTCTTCCTTCCGAGATTCGTCATGCTATCATGTCGATGAAAAACCGTACAGCACCCGGTCCCGACGGGATTAAGCCAGAACATCTGAAGAATCTTTCGCCAGTTCTCATCAAGACTTTGGCAAGGCTCTTCACGCGGTACCTGACGGAAGGCAAGGTTCCAAGGCAATGGAAGACCAGCAAAACCGTGTTGCTGTACAAGAAGGGAGATCCCTGCGACATCGGCAATTATCGCCCTATCTGCTTGTTGTCTGTAGTCTACAAACTCTTCACGCGAGTCATTCTCAACAGGATCGGAAGAGAGTTGGACGAAGGACAACCATGCGAGCAAGCTGGGTTTCGAAGAGGATTCAGCACGATCGACCACATACACACGGTGTCAAGGCTCATTGAAGTGTCACGAGAGTATAAGATGCCGCTCTGTCTCGCCTTCATCGACTTGAAGAAGGCCTTTGACTCGGTTGAGACTGAAGCCGTCATCGATGCCTTGAGCAATCAAGGTATTCCGACTCATTACATCAAGATAATTCGTGAGCTGTATAACGACTTCACAACCACCATAACACCATTCTACAAGGACATTATCATTGACGTGAAGAGAGGCGTGCGACAAGGCGATACTATATCGCCGAAACTATTCAGTGCCGCTCTGGAGAACGTCATGCGTAAGTTGGAATGGGACAACATGGGAGTGAAAGTCGACGGCCGGCAGCTACACCACCTTCGCTTTGCTGATGACATCGTATTGATAACACCAAGCATCACGCAGGCGGAACAAATGCTGGCCCAGTTTGACGAAGTGTGTGGAAAGATCGGTCTACGGCTGAATCTAACGAAGACGATGTTCATGAGGAACGGAAGAGTGCCTGATGCTCCTTTCATGCTCAACGGGACGAACATCACCGAATGCTCAAGCTACACCTACCTAGGTCATGAACTCAATATGATGAACGATCTAGCTCCGGAACTGAGCAGAAGGAAACGTGCAGCATGGGGAGCATATAAGACAATTAAGGACGTAGTGAAGAAGACCAAGAACATCCGGCTCCGCGCCCACCTTTTCAACTCGACGGTTCTTCCTGCTTTGACGTACGCTTCAGAAACATGGACAATGAGAAAGCAGGATGAACACGCGGTTAGCGTCATCGAACGAGCTGTTGAGAGAGTGATGCTAGGAGTGAATCGACTCACGCAAGTGAGGCAAGAATTACGAAGTTCTACCCTACGTCAACGATCGAAGATCAGGGACGCTGCCGCGTACGCCAAGCAGAACAAGATAAGATGGGCCGGGCACGTAATGCGTTTCGACGACAACCGGTGGACGAGAGCTGTAACAGATTGGATACCACTGGACGTCAAACGCGAACGAGGAAGACCGCCGACGCGATGGTCAGATATGTTCACGAAGTCCTTTAATGAAGTCCTTCAGAGCGTTCCACGTGTTCCTGGTGCGATACGTAAACATTGGTCAACAATCGCCCGAGACAGGGACGAATGGAGGCATCACTGGTACCCGCTCGTGCAACACGATGATCAACGGGGATACAGGTGATACAGGTGATACCGTTTCTTCTCTTCGATCATCTGGAACATCAATGAAGTAGACTTCTTTGCAGTAAACGATGCCGAACCAAGAGTCGCAATATTCCAACCTGTTCAAGTTTGTTGCTAACTTGGGTAAACTTGGTAAGATTGCTTTCGTTCTCGCATGCATGCGAGTCACCTATCTCACGAGCACTAACGCGTACGGTCTCCTCTAGCTGACCAATTTTATCACGACAAACATTAAGTTCCGTGAGGTTTGCTTCGATTCTGAAAACAAATCAATCAGTGCAGTTGTTGCAGTGTAAAGTGCTACTTGCAAAACATGGCAAAGAGAAATTCTTACTTCCCGTGAAGTTCTTCCACACGCTTCCCCTTTTGCAAAGCATCACCTTTTGCATCTTCCAGATCTTTTTTACAAGCTGTTAGCAAATGCCGTGTGTCCTCCCTCTAACTCAGTGACCAAAGCACGGACTTCTTCAGCAGACCTAGAACAGTTGCTCGATCGTGAAGGCAATTCACTCTAAGATGAAGGGCTAATCATAACTTGAGGAAAATCTACCATATTTTCCATCCCAAGACAATTCTAGTCAAAAAACCTGGATCATCAAAGTCTGTCCCATTATGGATAGACAAATTACATATTCACTCCTGTAGCTCTACTGTCACACACTTATTAGCAGTAGTGAAAGTAGCTGATTAAGCAAATTTATACACCACTATAACGTTAGATCTGAGATGTGATGAGGTGCAACTCGTTTTAACAAAGTTTATGTGCAGCTTGTTCGTTGCAGATGAAAGCAGGAACGCAAGATCTCCAACTCAAAACAAATATATGCTCAAAATGATAGAAAGGGCTGCCAAAAATTACTCGGTTGCTGTCATGAAAGGTCTTACAAATGACAAGTTGGATATTCAGAAGGAGCGACAAATTATTGGGCCTTGATGGTAACATAAAAGTGCTTCATGCTCCTCAAGCGAAGAGCTTAGACAAAATGCAAATTGTTAATCAAGGCATACTCGGAATTTGCTTGTGAAAAAACAGAAAAAATAGGCGTTAAAAGAGCATGATTAGCAGATAAGTATGACCTAGTTCCCATAGCATGGAAAGGCTTGAGAAGGAAGCATAAACTCACTCTTTCGAAGTCCACTGGTGTCGGAGAGTTGCTTTTGGAGATTATCTACGACGCACTTCTGCCTAAAGACAACAGCCACTCTTATCCAGGGTACAGCGATGTAGTACAATCGACATAGATAAGCTCTAGATACCTGCAAGGAATGGCTACACGTAGAATCAAAACAAAGAAAATCACACTTGATGAACGGGCAGATGTCGCTCCAGTCGAGCTGAGTTGACTAACGACTGCTTACATTCCGGACAAACGAGAGAGAAAAGCGAGAAAAAAAGAGAGAAACCCGAAAAACTGCACATCACAAGATGAGATTTTAGCTCGCAGATTTCAAAGACTCGCATCTCGCGGCTTTGTGTTTTGACAGTTTTCGAGCACTAACGTAACCCAATATTTTTTGGCCACACTTCCCAGCATATGGTTCGCAAAAACCATATGTATCTCCTTCTGTAGAAGAAGGTTCGAGGGGAAGCAGCTACTACGGAGAGAGGAAGGATGGATCTATAGGTTGACATGAAAAAGGCAGCTGTTTGAACGTTTTGAAGGTAAGTTGATGGCCTGCGGCACCCCCCCCCCCCCTCAAAACCTGCGGCAGCCGCAGGTTCTGAGGGGGGGGGGGGTGCCGCAGGCCATTAACTATATCAAAAAAAACATTTTTAGCGGACAATATTTATATGAATCAATAGCCTAAACCTCGTAGATTCCATAGGGATGTTTTGAGCCTGATTCGTCTTCTTAGCTCTGAGTAATATTTGGTGAAAGCACAGCGATCAAAAGCTAAAAGCGATATTGGCTGGCTTCTAATTCAATAGTTTGGAGGTCTTCTGAAGCGGGATTCCTGAGGTGGACAAAGAAGGAGTAGTGCTTTGTATTGAGTGCAAGAAGAGGTAGCTTACTCACCGTTGAGATGAAGTTAATCATGTTTTAAATTACTGCTTTATACAAGGTTGTTTACTGCTCGGAGACCTCAGAGTTCGCTGAAACTTGGGCATAGGGGTTATTCGACACGCGGATTATGACAATTATGCTTGATTAGAGGTACGGTAGGTTACGGTAGGCATACGGTATCTGCAAATTTGTGTCGTTGAACTTGAATTTCGCAGGATTTCAACAGCGTGGCACATCTAAGAATTTAGCTGCAGTCATTTCCCCTTAGAAACCGCTTTTGACCTTGGGTCGATACGACCCCCCCCCCCTACCTACCCCCCTCCCTTACGACCCCCCCACCTCTGCGGCGTGCCGCACCCCCCCCCCCACTTTACCCTGATTATCATTGAATGAAGTTCTCCCGCTTATGTTTTCACTTCAAATTCATATAGTTCCGCGTCTGATTTCGGATGCTTGCAAAGTCCAGCCCTCGCTCCCACATGGCTACCTATTCCGGAGCTCGCTTATGAAAGTTTGAGCGTCACCTTAATTCCAGGGCTCGGCACAGGTGCCTTGCAAGCAAGGTGGATATTGTTTTTGAAACCGAAAAGGCACAAAAAATCGTATTTTTTAGTCGACGTCTCGTTGCTTGAGGGTTTTTTAACGTTCAGGGTTTATAATCAGAGGGAGCTTTGTAAGGGACTTTGTTTTTTTGCATTTTCAAAAGTTACCTCGTGCCGAGCCCTGCTTAGCTCCGCCCGTTTAGCTGTAATTTCATTTTTACCGAGTGTTCTCCATCGTTTTTTCTTACTCACCAACAACTGTGCCTAACTAACCGGAATATCGAAGAAATTGAATTCCCATCCTTACGGAAGACTTGCTCTATAACGAACATATACACGTATTAATGTTCTAGCTATTTAATGAGGGATTCCTGGTTCACTCATTGTTACACCATTTTCAAAAAATCTGCAAATAAAGTGCTGCTCCAGAAAAACTCTGTTGCGACTCAGCGATGCGAGCAGCTCCTCGAAACAGCGAGCCGGGAGCGCTGGTTGCCGCACTGCCAGTCGCGCTGCTATTTTCGCGGCTGGACCTCTTCCGCTGGCTGCCAAGCAGAGGGCTATATATAGCCGCGCCCAGAGCCCTTGACCGGGCATTCTTCTGACTGTTCAACTGACTATCCTAAAGCATGGGAAGGGGGGCGGGATTAGGGTCACCCGAGGAAGTTCGTCTAAATGATTCATCTCAAGTCACCTGGGATGAATGGGGTTTACTACGGGCCTTTACCTTCTTTTAGGTCATTTCATAATTTTTCACAACAACAATTTTCAAGAGCTAGGGAATTATTTTTTGCTCCTCTATCTTGACCTCTTTGTGTTTCCAAATTTTGCAGAATGAGATAAACACAGAAATATACATAATGCCGATATAGAAAGTATACCTGAGCAAGCTAGAAGTCCATGAAATGTTTTTTGAACAAGTACAGAGTGTCCCAAAATATGTGCCTACTGTTTGATTCTTGATAACTCTCTTGTCATGGAATATTTCGAGGAGGTTTAGGCACCATTTTGTAACGCTGGATTTAGATTTGCAGTGTGGAGCGAATCGTCGATTGGTCCTCATTACTGTAGGATTACGGTAGGAACTCGCAGCATATGGTGCTAGAGATGGACCGCTGAAAAAAATTTCAAAAAAAAATCTGGAAAATTGTCGAACAAGATATTCATTCATGCTGATTTCACTACATAACTTTTCGCGCGTTAGCAAAGAGTTTTGAAATGAAATGGTGTGATCAAATTATTGACAATTATTAGATCGGTTGTTAAGGCTCATATGGCATAACTTATGACAGAAGAGCTGCGTTGAAGTGTGAGTTCTAAATCTAAAATCAGCGGCTGATTAACCTAGTGTAAAACCAGGGAGAAAATATGACTTTTAATAACGTAAAATCCTCCACAAAGTTTCTAACGTAGTCCTACAGTAACGAAGAGAGAATGACAATTCGCCCTTATAGTGCAAATCTAGGCTATAGCCAGCTCTACATAGTGGCTTCTTCTCGAAAGACTCCATGACAAGAGAGTTATTGACAATCAAACAGTCAGCACATTTTTAAGACACCCTGCGTGTTTTTTCCCGATTTTTCGAGTTTGAGATAACTTAATTGGGTACAATTTTTTCAGATACTTGGGCCCCATCTTGTAGAGCTTTCTATGCTCTATCAAGCGTACCTCAAAACTAACAAACTTTATACCAGTTTGCCAACACTTATCTGACCTTTTTATATCTGCAGGGTGTCTCAAAAAGATGTGGACACTGTTTGATCGTTGAATACTCCCTTGCTTTCATGTCTTTTGCTGAGTTTGAGGTAGCATTCTGTAGAGCGAGGATCAACTTAGACTTGCAAATGGAGCGATTCACCAGTCGCTGTTCATTACTGTAGGAAAACGGCATGAAGTTTCAGCATACAGCGCCTTGTGGAATAGTCTTTCTGATGAAAACAATTTCGCAAATCTAACAAGCTGTGTAGCAGAGTTTTCGGGCGTGCTAATTTCACTATACAACTTCTTCCCAGATTTTCGAGCTTTTTTGTGATTGTAATATTTCCGACGAACACTGGAATAACATTTGTTATCCCTAACCTGAAATAATCTATAAAAGAAGCATCACGGTAAAGTGTATTTCATATTTATTAGCGCCTTCGATTAGCGTAGTACCAGAGTTTCTGGCTAGTTTGGTGTTTATTTCTGAGGCTAATCGCTTTCAATGGCTTAAAATCCTTTTCAAAGTTCTTACCGTATTCATACAGTAATAAAGAAACATTGAAGATTTATTTACTGAACGTCTCAACTGAACCTTGCTCTATCAAATGGTACCTCAAGCTTGGCGAAAGACATTCAAGCAAGAGAGTTTTTGATAATCAAACAGTGTGCACTTTTTTTCTTTTCTATATAGAACATCAAATACGATTATAACAATTCGATCAGTGAGTAATAATCATATAGAATCTGGTGTAACACTTTATTAAAAATATAGGCTTGTTTTTTACTAATTTTCTCAAAACCTTGAAATTTTCGCACAATTGACTGGCTATACATTTTCATTCCGAAGTAGATTCTATCTCAATTTACTCAAAAAATAGATTTGGAGACCTTCCTTCCTCAATGAGGATTTCCACAAGGTCAAATTCTTTGACTTTGTCTAGGGGTAAGGACAAAGTTTTGTGGTCACTTAAGATTTAAAAAAACTATTATTCTTCATTATTTGCAGGAAAAATATGAATAATTGAAGGAGAAAGTGAAATAATTATAATACATGAGACTAGCAGTGGCGGACTGGAGGGGATGGGGGCGGGGGTTGGGGACCCGCAGAAATTCTAAGAAGCACCCAAAAAATTTTTTCGGAGTGCGTGGCCGTCACGTACATTCATTGAAAAAAAATTTTGTCCTCTCCCCCCCCCCCCCTCGGGCGGAAATTTTGGGACCGCCATTGGAGACTAGATATTAGAGTTCTTCCTCATTTTGTATTCCTCTTAGATTCTGTGAAATTTTTACATTGTTTTTCTTGAAATATTGGGTTGTCCCAAAAGTTTTGTCCGTTTTTTCAACCTATCATGAAAATACATG